CTGCAGCGCGGGGGTCCGGTCCGGCCCGGCCGCGGGGGACCCGCCGGGCCCGGGGGCCGCGGCCCTTCCCGGAGGAACCGGCCGGGGCCTTTTGCCGCTGCCAGGCGGGGTCCCCCCCTCTTTACCGCGCTCCCCTCCAGCCCTTCGGGGCGATTTCCCCGCGAAGGGCGCGGAGCGAGAGGCGCGTTTCTGGGGTGGAAATTTCCTGCCGATCCGCGGCTGGAAAACAAAGGTTTTTTTAGGGCAGAAACAAGCGGGGAGGGAGTTAATGAGCCCCCATTTTCTCCATGCCATTAATCTCCAACGAATGCAAAAAACACGCGGCTTTGGGCTTATATTGTATTATTTTATTCGTTATGAAAGTCTACAAAAGCGAGAGGCAACACCGTCGGGATTATTGGGATTTTTTTTTCCTTTTTATTCTTTTTTTTCTTTTTTTTCCTTTTTTTTCTTTCTTTCTTTCTTTCCCCCTTTTTTTTCTTTTTTTTTCTTTCTTTCTTTTTTTTTTTAATCTAGAGGGAAAAACACCGCTTTCGTGATTTCGTTCGGCGCGGGGGGGGAGGCTGTTCCCTTCCTGTTGATCCACTAAAGAGAAAAAGGGCCGGGGCCGCGCGAGGGGCGAGGGCGGGCAGCGGATTCCGCACGGAGGGTGGCGGCACCGATCCCCCCCTTCCGACCTTGAACATTTAATTTTTCAGCCCAGCAAAACAGGTGTGGGAGAAAAGCCGCCGCTTTTTTGAGGGGGAAACGGCGTAAAAACAACCCCATCGCCAGCCGCGGCGGCTGGGATTTCCTCCCGGCACAACGGGGCACGGAATATGTCTAAAAATAATAATAATAAATCGGTGTAACGCTCGGGGCGCTTTTAATTTTTTTCCCCGATGTTGTGTTATTTCATTGCGCGCGAGGCGGCGCGGAGGTCGGGGGGGCCGAGCCTCCCCCGTGGAGGCCGCGCCGGGCGCGCTGCCCACGCGGGTCTCTCCGCGCGGCCGTCGGGCCGGGGCCGCCTGCCCGTGTCCCCTGCACCCCTCGGCACCGAGGTGAACCCGGGGGATCCACCCTCTCTTCTCTTCACCCCCCCTCCCCGCCTTCTCTTCCTCCCAGGATTTAGCAGTTTTATCCCGATGCGGGTGTCCTTCCTCTCTGTAAAGTCGTAAGTACCTTGAGGTGGGAGGAGTAAATTCAGCCTGACACTGAGAGCGCTTTTGTTGAAACAGGAGAGACTTGCGGTGTCCCTACTTAAATATGACACATGTGAGTAATCTCTTCCTATACAATATCGGAATAGTCAATTAGATTTTCTTTCTTGACGGCTGGCGGGGAGGGGGCTGGAGGGAAAGCAGAGAGCTGGTGCTTTGGATTATTTTTTCCTCCCCAGGAGAGATGGAGAGATATGAGGAGCGAGAAAAAAAAGGGGGGGGGGCTTTCTCTCGCAATTCAATGGTCGGGTTCAATTAGCTTAGCAGAAACGAGGGGGAAAAATACCCATCCCAAACGAGCAGGAAGGTTGGGAATGAGACCCGAAATGTTCCAACTTTCTGGTCCCCGAAGTCCGTTATTTATAGAGGGGAGAATAAATAATAATAAAACACGCACGAAGAAGGTGGCGGGAGAAAGTATGTGGCAATAGTCGCGATACCCCTCCCGCCCCTCAGCGCTGGGTGCCTTGTCCCGATAGCAATCGTTATAATTGCGAAGGGAGCGGGGGACGTTGCAGACAATAATCCTGCGCGGCCGCGTACGGAGGCTGCTCCGTGCACGGCGCCTGGCCTCTTCCTTCTTCCTGCATTAGGTAATGCATGGGCGGGAGATTTGCTTCGCTATATTTTATTTTAAACCCCTCTCCCCAAAAGCGACTTGAGGTATATTTTACTGTTTAAAAAAGGAGAAAAGAACGTAATAATAATGGTGGTAATAAGAGAAGGACAAATGAGGCGCTAGGGACAGGCCGAGCGGCGGTGCCAGCGGGGCTGCGGGCGGGGGCCCCCCGCCGCTGTC